CTCTGCTCCAGCAGGATCAGACCACACGAGCACAGTTGCTCCTTGCAGGGCTTCTCTTCTCACCCTTCCCCAAGCTCCAGAGCCAGGAGCAGCGCCCAAAGCTGCCTCACCCCTCACACTATTGTAGCACTGGCCCCTTCTCATGCAGGCAAAGAGAGAAGATCTGACACAGGAACTTGGCAGAACCCGGGGCTTTGCCCAGTGCTCCTGAACTCCCTCGCACGGGCTGAGGGCTCTGAGGCTGAAAAGCAGCGCCTGGAGCTGTGCTGGAGCCTGTGCCCAGCCCGGTGCCCAGCAGTGCAAATCTCCTCTGCGAGCCGACCCGAGCCCCCAGCAGAGGTGCCCAGGCTCCCTGGCAGCGAGCTGTACGGAGCACCGATCTGATGCAAGAGCTTCGGCTTCCGCACCCCGCCATGTGCGCGGCAGCGCGGGCAGCTCGGGGGGCTCCGTGCCCACCCCAGGGGCACACGGGGGGCTGAGCCCCTCCCAGCCCCGCACCCCCCTGCGGCCCGCGGGGCTGGGGCACCCTCAGGGCAGGGACAGGGATGGGCAGGGATGGGCAGGGATGGAGGCAGCCCCGGGCACGGCAGGGGAGGCGGAGGCGGCTCCGCTGCGCTCGGCGGGACCCGGCGGCCGCCTCGGCCCCGCACCCACCTGCGGCCGGGCCGGGGTCGGTGTCGGGCTCGGTGTCAGATCCGGACTCGGTGTCAGATCCGGGCTCGGTGCCGGGTCGGTGCCGGGGCTCGGTGTCGGTGCCGCTGCCGGTGTCGGAGCCGCCGGGGCCGGCGCCGCTCGGCGCTTTTGTCGCTGGCGGGGCAGGGCGGGCCCGGAGGGCGGCACTGATGTCACGGCCCGGGGGGGACGGCACGGCCCGAGCGGCCTCAGCAGCTCCTGAGGCTGCCCGGGAGCCCCGTCCCAGCACCCGGGCCGGGATCCTCCGGGTCAGAGCCCCAGGCTGGCTCCGGGCGGCGGGAGCGCTGCCCACGTTTCGGCGGTACTTGGTTCTGCTGGGCGGTTTACTCTGAGTTAAAAGAGTTGCAAGATTGGAGAAATGACGGAGAGCAGCCCTGGGGAGAAGGACATGGGGTGTTGGTGTGTCAGAAGGACATGGGGGTGCTGGTGAATGACAAGCTCAGCCCCAGCCCCGTGCTCTGGCCCCCCAGACCCCCCCTGTGCTGGGCTGATCCCCCAGGGGCAGCAGGGCAGGGGGGGATTCTGCCCCTGTGCCCTGCTCAGGTGAGGCCCCACCTGCAGAGCTGCCCCAGCCCTGGGCCCAGCACAGGGAGGAGCTGGAGCTGCTGGAGAGAGCCCAGAGGAGGCCACGGAGCTGCTCCAGGCCTGGAGCCCCTCAGGGAGAGCTGGGGATGCTCACCTGGGGAAGAGGATTCTCCAGGGAAGCCTTACTGCAGCTTCTCCACAGATAAAAAGGAGTTCATAGGACTTCAGCAAGAATTGTTGTCCAATATGGGTGGTGAGGCCCTGGCACAGGGTGCCCAGAGCAGCTGGGGTTGCCCCATCCCTGGAAGTGTCCAAGGCCAGGTTGGATGGGGCTTTGAGTAACCTGGGGTAGGGGAAGGTGTCCCTGGCAGGACAGGTGGGACAAGATGGGCTTTGAGGTCCCTTCCAACCAGCCCAGGCTGGAATTATGGGTCTCTCATAGCAAATTTCAGAGCAGGGGATGAGGAGAGGTTCTCTGGCAATGGCTCCCATGGGAACCCACCACAACAGTGCTGCTTTGGGTGCAGACAGATGGGGTGGAGAAATATGCACAGCCCCAAACTGCAGAGGAAAGGCTGCAGAGGTGTTGGGAAAGCGCTCCCAGCACAGCTGGAGGACGGGTGGGAGCCTGGCTCCCTGTGAAAGGAGAGCTCTGAGAAGCGAAGAGGCCAAAGCAGTGCAGGAGCAGAGACTCTGCTGCCCTTCCCTGGTGTCCCACACACCCTCTGTACCCTCACAGATGTCCCTCTGAGCCCAGACATTCCCAGAGCAGCCTACAGAAAGTGTGGCTGCAGGGCTGCAAAGCTGCTTTTCCCTTTTCCTGCATGTTTTATGCCAGGGCAGTACAGGAGCCCAGGAAGGCCCAGGGCCTTGTGACAAACAATTCCAAGGCTCCAGGGGATGCTGTTTGCACCCTGAAAGGCTGAGGGTGATCCATGTGTGGCCCTGCAGCCTGACCCCACCCTGAGTGCTCTGTCCATGCTCAGAGCCCTGGCAGGACCCCAGTCCCAGCTGGAGTTTGGCTGTCCCCTCATGTGCTCATCCCTGCTGGATCTGCAGGTGCTGGGATGCAAACTCCCATTGTCCATCTTCTCCATCCCCCTGGGAAACAGTGTCCTGGGTCTGTGCCCCTCTGGCACTCCCCTGTGCCTGTGGAGGAGGGCAGGGATGGCAGTGGGACACCCTCCCTGATCCAGCAAAGCCCACACAGCGTCAGGAACCAGGTGGCACCAACAGGGAAAGGATCTCCCCTTTCTTAGGCATTTTTAATGCTCTGGAACATTCCAAGAAGATTCCATCCATCAATGTTCTGCTCCCTGGACCTGGAGGTCAGCAAAAGGCTCCCACTTCCAGGAGCAGCTGCACAGGAAGCTCCTGCAGGGGAAGTCAGGAGAATGGAACAGTTTTGCTGTGGCTGAACGGTTTCCCACCCTGAGCTGCTGCCCTGGCAGCCCTGGGGCTCTGTGCTCCGGGAGGATCTGCCAGCCCTTGCAGCAGGTGAGGCTGGAGAGGAGCTGGATGCTCCAGAGCTCCTGATGGCAGTGGCCATGGGCAGGATTGCCAGGGGAGGCCAGGATGCCATTGGCAAAGGCTCCCATTGAATTCCTCTCCCTGGGCTGGCCTTTTCTCCTTGACAAATGGAAGAGGGTACTGAGGAGCAGGCAGCTGACATGAGGAGCCTGATGGCCGCTCTCTGGGGCTCAGGGACCCTTCCCCACCCCTCTCCTGAGGCACCACAGCTCGCTGGGGCAGGAGCCGGGGAGCCCAGGCTGCTGGAGCTGCTGGCATTGTGCAACTGAAACTGGCAGGAAGGGAGGAGGACTGGGAGGGCAACAAGGAGCTGCTTCCTTTGGACCTGGAAAGCTTTTGGCACCAGATCCCACAGGAATTTTACTGTGAACTGTGGGTGAAGAAATTCCTGGCACAACTGGGGCTATTTCCTCTTGTCCTGTTGCCTCCCACTTGGGAGAAGAGCCAGATCTCCACCTGGTTCCAACCGCCTGTCAGGAGTTGTAGAAAATGAGAAGGTTCTCCCTGAGCCTCCTTCTCTCCAGGCTGAGCCCCTCCAGCTCCCCCAGTCACTCCTGGTGCTCCAGAGCCTTCCCCAGCTCCCTTCCCTGGACACACCCCAGCCCCTCAGTGTCTCTCTTGCCATAAGGGCCCCAAACTGCCCCCCGGGCTGGAGGTGCCCCAGCAGTGCCAGCACAGAGGGACGGGCACTGCTCCTGCTGGCTGCACCATGGCTGGCACAAGCCCGCATGCCACTGGCCTCCTTGCCCACTTGGGCACACTGACCACCAAAACATCTCCCCCTGCAGCTGCTCCTGGTGGCCAGGGATCCCCTGTCACAGACGTCTTTTGTGAAAAATCCTTTCTTGGGATTTTTCTCCCTTCTGAGAAGCTGTGGCCTCAGCAACAAGATGTAAACAATGGTTTTCTGCCGCTGTGGAATGCAACAGCTGCATCTGTGATTGGCCCATCTTAGATGTTTAAAATTAATGCCAATCAAGGACTGAGCTCTCTCGAACAGCATTTTCATCTCTCTCATCCTGAAAACCCTTGTGACCACCGTCACAATCTCCCACAGGAATCCCAAGGCCTTGTAGAGCATTGCACACATCCCAGAGCTGACACCACTGCGCTGTCATTTGGGAATGAGCATCCTTTCCCTGGGGTTGGGAAGCCTCTGCAGATGGCTCAGAGGCTGTGTCCAAGGCAGGCTGCAGGAGATGGTGCTGCAGATGCCAGCCTTGGGCAGACCTGCCTCCTCCAGCCTCCATCCCACAGGAGCAAGGCAGGGGCTGCCAGGTTTCAGAGTTCTCCTATTCCTATTTCTGTTCTCCAGAGGAGGCAGAGCCAGTGGATTAAAAGCTGCCTGTCAGCTTCAGAAAGGTTCCCTGTATCCCCAATTCTACTTTGGAAATGCCATCTCTGGTCTTTGCTCTGAAGGGGCCTGAAGGGGACCAGGCTTGTGAAGAATCCCATTGCAGAGGGAGTGGGGCCCAGGCCTGGCCCCTTCCAGCACTGGCTCAGGATGCCCTGTGTGCCGCAGGGACACTCTCAGCCCCCTCAGGGAGTGCAGAGAGCCCAGAGCACTGGCTCAGGATGCCTTGTGTGCCGCAGGGACACTCTCAGCCCCCTCAGGGAGTGCAGAGAGCCCAGAGCCATCCCAGCTCACCCCCCCAGTGTCTCTCCAGTGGCAGAGTGGTGTCTCTTGGGCTCGGTAACCTGGGGCTGTCCCTCTGCCTCTCACCTGCTGCAGCCTTCTCATCTCCCCAGCAGAGCCCAGGGATGCAGGAGAGCAGGAGTTTCTGTTCAGAGACTTATAGCCAGGGGAGGGTCAGTCCCTTCTTCCAGGGAACAAGGGATGGGACAAGAGGAAGTGATCTCAAGTTTCCCAGGGAAGGTTCAGGTTGGATGTTAGAAAAAACTCAATGGTGCTTTGCAGCTGAGAAACTGCTCAGCACCTGCCAACCACGTCAGGGAGGAGGAAATGTCCTGCTGCCGAGCCAACAGCTGGGTGAAAATGCTCTCCTCTGATAAACATGGTTCATTAAAGTCTAATTGTATCATTAACACACCCCTCCATCCCAAAGGTACCCCCTCTCCCAAAAGTATGACTGCCCCTCACTGGGGTGGTTTTTGTGACTCATCTTTAAAAGCAAAGCAATGGAATTTTACACATAAAGGCCTGCACGACTTGAGTCACTCAAGTTCCACCCAAACAGAAATAAACTGATAAAAAGTAAGTTGAGAATGGGGGAGGAGTGAGGGAAGACTCCATGGTTACTGCTGGGCTTAGTCAGTGGGCTGAACCTGCCTTCTTCCCCTTCAGGACCTGTTGGGTAAGAACTGCACTCTGTGCACATTGAATGCTTTAATTGGGGATTAGAGCTTGTCTGGGGATTGCTTTGAACACCTTTATGCAGTCAGATCCTATCAGTGACAAATCCTATCTCTGACAGGTGGTAACACAGACAATTCTTGAACTATAACCTCACAGTCTTATATCAATAAAGGGATTTATTCTGTGAACTCTGAGGGTGAGCCCTTCCCCAGCACCGGCTGTCACCAGCAGGAGGGAACACACTCTGTAAAGAGGAAGGGCCCCTGCGGTGTCAGAAAGTGGGAAGGGCTGCTGAGGGCTCTCCCTTATGCTGGAGAAGGTCAGTGGCACCACCAGGATCCAGCAGGATGGCCTGGGGAGGCTCCTGATGGGACACTGACAGACTGCTCAGGCACAAGGCTTGGCTGTCCAGGGGCACTGAGACAAATTAAACACCGAGGGTGTCTTGGTTTGGAAAGAGAGGAGTCTGCCAAGGAAGGCAGGAGCCTCCCCTGAAATGGAGAGTGTAAACCTGCTCCCTCTGAATTGCTGTAAATTTTAAATTAAGGGGCTCTCAGGTAAAAAACTATGGGAGCAGGAGTAACAGTTCTTTATTAGAGAAGAAAATAAAAGGATAAAATAAACAATGCAGTACACTAGAACAACACTGACAGAGTCAGAACCCAACCTGACACCCTGTGGGTCAGGGTGCTGGCAGCAGTCCCATTGGAATTGTGGCTCAGCCCTCCTGCAGTGTCAGGGCTGGTTCTGCTGGAGCAGGGATCCTGTAGAAAGGTGCAGTCTCTGCCTCTGAAGATGCAGTGGAAGAAGAGGCAGCTGCTGTTCCTCTGGGCAATCCAGTGCAGAAGCTGTGCTGGTGTTCCAGAATCTCCAGATTATATCTGGGTAGGAATGCTTGGCTCCTCCCTCTGGGCTCACATCTCCCAATGGGATGCTGTAGTTCTTATCAGCCATGCAGGGACATTCAATAGCTGTTATCAGCAGGTGTGTCCCCAGTTGTGGAAGAGATCAGGAAAACTGCCCACTGAACTGAATACATCTGCCATACAGATGGCAAATAGGATACAATTTGCTTGGCAGTCCAGGACAGAGGGTCAAGTAACTCTCCCCACATTAACAGTATAGAAAATCTCTTTTCTTGTGACAGATGTGAGTGTAGCACTCGGGGACGCGGGGTAGTGCTGAGCATGGCAGCTCTGGAGGAATGGTTGGACTCGATGGTCTTTAGAATTTTTAAAATTTTAATAATAGTATAAAAAAGGACAATATTTCCAGTGCTGGTGTGCTTTTGACAAATGGCCAAAGAGCACACAAAAAAACTTAAAATCATGCTCTCTATATATGGTTACTTGCTGGGGTTACATGCATATTCATTAGCTTGTACATTATTTAAATATTCCCAAGAGCTTTTGATACTGCAGGGCTCTTTGTGTTTAGCTTTCCCATCCTGACTTATCTGTATGACATCCTGAGATCAAGTCAATAAATTGTATTCCTTCCTGAGATTTCATCCTCGTTGTTTCACACTTTTCTGATAAGAGGAGTGAAGGAGCTCTTCCCCACTCTCCTCTGGTGCTCTGTCTTGTGTCACTGTTATCTTATCACTTGGACAGTCAGTCAATGGATGGTTTTGCACTGTTCTTAGTTACACAAAAGCTTTTTCACATCTTATGTTTGCTCAGGTCTAGAGTACAATTCATTCATCACACCACTATTTCTATAAGTGATACATAGATATCATATTCATTACACTACTGTTTCTATGAGCAATACATTACATAAGCTGATGGATTATATTGTATTAACAAGCAGCTAAAAAAAGTTATAATTTGTACCATATCTAAATACTTGTGATCAATAACAGCACGCAAAAGCTAATACATAAATGTGAAAGCAAATATTATCTGGTCATTTTTAACACTCAGGAATGCTCACACCTGAAGGTCCAGCCAAGGAGTGTCCTGGGGCAGCGAGATGGGGCCAGAGGTGCCCAAAGCAGTGACCAAAACCAACCAAGGCATCACAAATATTGTTTAGACCTCAAACAAATGGGGTGGTGTTCCCTGAGGGAAGGACTTGGGGGTACTGGTGCACGGGCAGTAGCAGCCTGTGGACAGGACACTTACATAGGGCCAAGCCCTGCCTTGTGAATCCCTGACTGATGGGATTTAGCACACAGTTTTCCAGAGAAAGCAGCTGTGCTGAAATCTGGGACAAACTCCTCCAGGTGCAGATTTCCCTGCTGCCCATGGCGTGGCCACGCAGAGGCAGCTGTGCCCTGCAGCCCATGGAGGGCACGGGGGGCAGAGATCCCTCCAGCCCATGGAGGGCACGGGGGGCAGCCCCTGCAGGACCCTGCATGATGGAGCAGGGGGTGCCTGAGAGAGGCTTTGAGCCCCTGGGAAGCCCCTGCTGAGCAAGGGCCTGGCAGGGTCCCACGGAGCCATGCAGGGAGGAGCCCTGTGTGCTGGAGCAGGTTTGCTGCAAGGCCTTGGGAGCCTGTGGGGGACCCAGGCTGGAGCAGGAGGGCCCGAAGGACCGACCCTGAGACGGAGTGACCCACCTGGCAGCAGGCTGTGGGGAGCTGATTCCCTTGGGATGGACTCCAGTTGGAGAAGGTCCTGGAGAACAATCTCCTGTGGCAGGGCCCCTGTGCTGGAGCAGGGCAAGGACTCCAACTTCTCTCCTGAGCAGCAGCAGCAACAATGTGGGATGAACTGACCAGAACCCAAATTCCCATCCCCCTGTGCCACTGGAGGTGGGATGAGGGAGACATTGGGAAGGAGGGAGGGCTGGGGGAAAAGTGACTGTGAGATTTGTTTGGTTTCTCATGATCCTGTCCTGATGCTGGCAGTAGTCAATTCAGTCGATACCCAAAAACTGAGGCAGTTTTGCCCATGAAGCTGAAGGGGGAGGGATCTCTCCCTGTCCTTATCTCAACCCAGGGACCCTTGGTTCCATTTTCTCTGCCCTGTCAAGGTGCAGAGGGCAGGGACAGGGCTGTTCTGGTGGATACCTGGTGTCCGACCAGGGTCAAACCACTGCACACCTCCAGGCCTGAGGAGTCCACATCTTCTCTTGCTGAAACCTGCCCTCCCTCAGCTTCAGGCAATTCCCCCTGTCCTGCCCCTGAAGGCCGTGGGGAAAAGTCCCTCTGCAGCCTCCTGGTGGCCTTCTCCTGGTGGGTACTGGGAGGCTGCTGGGATGTGTCCCCTCAGTTCTGCAAGTCCTCTCCTTAAGTCCCACCAGTTGGTTATGGGGACACAGCAGAGAGCAGGAGCTCTGGCAGCCTGGGGCCAGGTTGCCAAGGAGCAGAGCAATGGAAGCCTCCTGCTGCAGAGCCAGAGGAGCTGAGGCTGAGCTGAGGGAGCTGAGGCAGCTCCAGGGGCAGAGCCAGCAGGAGGAAAGCACAGCGTGGCCTTTCCTCTGTCCTGTGCTCCCCTGTCACTTCCCTCCTGCTGCCGTTTGGCAGCCGTGACCTGCACTGGAACTCTCCCCACATCTTCTGCAGCCACCAGAGGAACAGCAGGAGGAAATGTGTGCAACTGGCCCTGGGATCAGCCTTCCTCCCTGCAAAACCCACAGACTGGTAGAGGTTCTGGGCTGATCACCTCTGCTCTCTCCTCAGCCAGCCGCAGGGAAAGGCTGGTGTTGGCCTTGAAGAAGGAAGGCCATATTCCCAAACTCTTACAGCTTTTCCAAATCTGTGAGGAGTTACAGCTCAGATGGGCCTTGCAGCATTTGTCAGCCATTATGCAAGGAATTCTGTGTCTCAACCAAGCAGCTCTGCTGGAGGTGATGCTGTCCCAGGATTGTATCAAGGATGTGGTTGGATGCCTTGGGTATGGCACAGCCCAAATGGCACCAGCAGCTCCTGCAGCAAACAACCCAGCTGAAGGAGCTTCTTCCCATCCGAGACCCTGAGCTCCAGCAAAAATTCCACCAGGTGTTCTGGGCACAGGGTATTCAGGCTGTCCTCTTGGCCAAGGCAGCTGGGCTGGGAGAGGGTTCTCTGCCCAGCCTCACCTTCTTCGTCAGCTGCAAGAAAGAGGAGATCTTCCATTGGAGGTTAGTGCCTTCTGAGCTGCTCTCAATGGCTTGAGACCTGGAGCTGGGGTTGCCCAGGGATCACTGCTCCTCAGACATGCTTGCATTACCACAGGATGGGAATGATCCCCCTTCTTTCTCCTCCCTTGGATTCTGTAGTTTAATAAGGGAAGAGCTCGGGGAAGGATCTAAAGATTCCTCAATGGGCTGTCAAGGGTCTCAAGTTCTTCTCTTTGATGGCCAAGCAACAGCCTGCTTTGGAGCTGGTTTGTGGGGGGAGCTGGGAAACAAGCAGCTTTTGGGATTCCCTCTCAGGGCCAGGTGCAATGTCTGTGGAACTCATTCTGAACCTGAGATGCCAAAGAGCAGGCTCAGGGAAATGCTGCCAGCGCTGCTTCCCATGGGAAGGAGTGGTGAGAAATGCAGGGACAGAGAGGGCAGAAACATCCAAAGCCTTGAGAGAGGATGATGATGATGATGATGATGATGATGATGATGATGATGATGATGATGATGATGAAGATGATGATGTTCAGCCTGGCTTTCTTGTCCCTCTGGAGGCTTAAGCAATGGGTGAACTGAAATCCTTGCCCAGAAGGGAGCTCTTGTCCTAGATGTCCTGAAGTGTTTCTTGGGAGAGGCTGTGGCTGTACCAAGCCAAGGCTGGGGCAGAAGTGCAGAGTAGAGCATCTGCAAAGGGAGCTGGTTTGAGTGTGAGGAAGGGCAACCAGGCCGTGGCTGTAGCCAGCTGGGAACCTGTTCATTTGTTCCCCCTTTCCTGGGGGGCCTGAAAGATGCTTTGCAGGGTTGCAGCTGCACAAGAGGGAAAGGGATCCCTGTGGGATGTTCTCAGGGCAGGGGGAGTGGGGCAGGTGCTGCATGGGACAAACTGTGTCTCAGCTGGCTCTTGGGAGCTGCACTTTTGGGAGCCTCCCCTGAGCTCAGCTTCCCCTGTGGCTCTGGCCTTCTGCCCCTGCTGCTGCTGCACACAGGCACTGCTGAAACAATGCTCTGGGAAGGAAGGATCCTGTGGGATCTGTGTGCTCTCCACTGGCCTTTGTTGGGCTACAGTGAATGGAGGGGTGGAGAGCTGGGCTTGAGGAAGCGGGGGATCCTCTCAGGATGGAAGTTTTGCCTTTCCAGAGGGCTCGTGCCAGTTGTGTTCCTTTTTTGTGTTCCACAGAAGGACCAGAAATTCTGGTCAGAAGTTGTGGCCCAGTTAGCAGATGGAACTCCAGGTGCCCACCAGCAATGGGAACTGGTGTCAGTGCTCACAGGCTTGAAAGGAGAGGGAGGAAGCAGAGAAAGGGAAACTGCTCTTGAGGCCTTCTGCAGTCCTTGAGGTCTTTCTGGAACCCAGGAGTCCTTGCCAGTGCAGCTCAATCTTCATTCAAGTCTTCACTTAAAGAAATATTTCTGGCAATGTAAGCTCTGATGTCTTTGTTGTAAAGCAGGATTTCCTTGTGTAGAAAGGACCATCATGGAGCCAACAGGCTTGAATTCAAGATCTGCTTTCTTCCCAGAATGTTTCAGCATCCCAGAGAACTTTATTTCTGTATCCCTGTCTTTCTGAGGTCAAGGCCAAGTGACAGATTTCTTCTTTCTCTGTATGTTTCCTTTCCATGGCTTTGCTTTGTTGGTGTTGGCAAAGCTTGGAGGAGACACCACGAGAAGAAGACCTCTCTCAAGGAAGGGCCAACCAGGACACCAATTCTGCTAGAAATTGTAACCCTTTCCTCCTTTCAGGAAATTCTTACTCCAAGACACCAGAAATTCTTTTTCCTATGCAACTGGTGAATTTTCTGAAGGACTTCTGTGCCTGTTCCCTCATGTTTCACCAGAAGGGAGAGGCATTTTTACAAAGCTTGGCCAAGCTGGGGACTTCTTCCTGCTCTTGAAATTCTACTGGTAAGTGAAAAGTTCCAGCTGCTCTTCCTGAAAGCAGGAAAGGCCAGAGCCACTGGCACACTTGTTGGACCTGCTGAGCACTTTTGTGTCCCTCTGCTGGCACAGAGTGGCTTTGCTGAGAGTGGAAGTGGATTGCACCACTCCAATGCCAAAGTTCCTACAGCTCTTGCAAGTGCCTACCTGGACTGCCCTGATCCTTGTAACAGCACCAGGGGCAAGTTCTGTGCCCAGTGCAGTCCTTAGGACAAGGCAGAGTTAAGATGGAAGGAGACTCTTTGCCACGGGGCAGCTGCATTGGTGATGTTTTCCCAGGACTGCTGTGCTTGTGGTTGGACCAGGGCCACAGAGTCTTTTTAGCTTCTCTGGGGTTGTTGGCTCATTCCTCCCCAGAAGATCCTGTCCTGCTGGCAGCAGCAGATTTCTCTGTCCTGAGCAGCAATGGGAAACCAGAATTTTGTCCCTCCTTTGGCTGGGGCAGCTGTTGCCACCTGAGCATTGCAATCCAGGCTCAGAGTTTGCAAACCAGGCTGCTGCTCCTCACAAACTCCAGAGGCTTTCTCTGCTGCAGGAACAACCTGGGAACTGAGCAAGGCACAGCACTGCCAGCAAAACATTTGTTCAGCCCTGCTCAGCTCAGCTTTAGGGGAAGGTTGTTTGAGCCCCTCACAGCCCTGTGTGGGAGGAACACTAACATTCCCAGCAAGTTCAAGAACAACCTTTGACTCACAAACTTGAGGACATGAAGGCAGAATGAAGCACTTGACAAGTTTTTAAACAACAATCGGGCAAAGGAAGGCCCATCACACACTTGACCTTGGCAAACTTAAGCTTAACCACCTTTAACTTACCCACACAACAAGGCAGGGACTGGAGTTGTTTAGTCTGGCTTACAATCCATTTGGATGAGGGGAAGACATGAGGAGAAGAAAGAGACAGATTGATTTGTACAATCAGTCCTTTGGTGTAAAATGAATCAGTTGTGGTTAACAGGTACAGAAGATCAGTGTCTCAGCTATTCCAGCCAGAAAGTGGCACAATGGGAATGGTTCCTGCTTAAAAGAGGACTCACAGATTCACAGAAACCCTTGGGTCCCTTCAAAAGGAGCCCACAAGTGGGCAAAAGAGGCTGCTGGTTTATTGTTGCTTCTCTGCAACCACATTACTGTGTTTCTCAGAGAAACTTGGGAAGGAAACTTTCCCAAAAGCTTTCACTCCCTTTTCTTTGCAGCTTTACCTGATGAGAAACAGCAAACCTGATTTACCCTACCAAATTAATCTCTTTTTTTTCTTAGGGAATGGATGATCTGCAAGTGGCATCTGCTGCCACAGATATCTTGTCTTGTCAACTTTTGTCCATTCCTGGTCCGAGAAGTTGTCATGCAAGAGGCCCAGCAAAGGGACCACGTAAGTAAAAGTGGTTTGGAGGTGCTTGGATGGAACAGCCTAAGGCAAATGGGAAACAAACCAGCCAAACAAAATCTCAATTCTTCTATTTAATTTTCATTTTTATTAAAAGAAATCAACCAAACTGATAGAAACCAGGAAACCCATTGCACTCTAATTATTTAGGGCTTACTTTGTCTGGGATTTTTGCAGGGTACCAACCTCATCCATGCACTCATACCATGATGTAATGCCATCATGCTGCTGCATTTGGAGGAGCTGATCAGGTCATGGAGCTGTTGCAGACTCTGCTTGATCCAGGGAATCTCCTGGCCACAGCTGAGGTAAGGGAATGCAAAGGGCTGAAGACTTGGGACTCTCTCAGCCCAGGGAAACCCTGATCTTCCCAAGTGCTCTTCTTGTGGAAACAGCATCCAAACAGGTTGGGCTTGGGCTCAGTGCTTGGCTGTACTGCATGCTCTGAGCCTAAATGGCAAGAAGCTCCAAGGCAGAAGTTTCCAGAGCCTTTGGCTGAGGCCAGGGCTGTGTCTGGGGCACTGTGCCCACAGTTGTTCCCCAGGCAGTGCTTCATGGACACAGCCCTGTCTGGCCAGAGGTCCCACAGCAGAGTCCAGGAGAGGCCCTGGCACCCCCAATCCACAGTTCATAGCCTGGAATGGACAGGAGTAGCTGGGAAAAGGTTGGCAGGTTGTCATGATGCAATGATGCATTGGAGAGAACTTGAAGGACACTTTGCCAAGCCTTGGGAGTCATGGATGGATTGCCATGAGAGATTAGAATCCCTGGTGGGGATTCTCTTGGGGATAGCAGGGTGGCCTGGATGTCTCTCATATTTCCTCCCAAAGAAAGAAATGGCACTTTGTGCAGGGGACACCTGAATGCTTCAGGCCTCACCAGAAAGACAAGGCAGAGCTGTTGGAGCCAAGGGAATTCTTTGTAGGCTGTTTCTGTTCATACTGTGCTTTCTGACTGGAAAGGTCTCTGCCAAGGGCAGGATTTAATGAAGCCATTTTCTCCCTTAGGTATCCAAAATACTTGGATTTTTCAATCCCTTCTACGCCCGCTGTCTTCCCATCCTGACTGTGCCACTTCTGGTCAATGCAGCAACAGGTACCTGGGAAATAGCAAACGAGGATTTTTCCTTGTTTTCCCCTTTGGAGGCTTTAGTATCTGTTAGGGACTGACAGGGGTGCTCCCAGCAATCAGCTGGGAATGCACCTGAGAAAAATGGCTGCTCCGCAGGGACAGGGGTTCTGCAGGCAGCACTTTCAGCCCCTTCTTGCCTCTCCCTGACTTGGCTTCAGGCTGTGCTTTGTAGCAGATGGACCTCCTGGAGGAGGGTTGTTCAGGAGTTGGACTTGTATCCTTTCCAAGATTTGCTTCAAGTGCCAAAAAGTCACCATTGTGTTGGCTGTTTTGTTCTCCCCCAAAGTTCTGCCTCCGAAAGCAACCCAGGAAAGCCAAAGTCCTCTAAAACCATGTCAGGAAGTGCAGGAGCACTTGAGCTGGGTGGATGGCACAGGACATTTCTTCTTTTCTTTTTCTTTGTTGCTCATTGAAGGCATTACTTTTCCTGTAGATGATTATCAAACAGCACAACTGGTCTTAATTCTGGAGCTGTTGAGTTTTTGTGTGATGCAGCACAAGGAGCACATGAGGGGTTACATCCTCCACTGGGATTTGCTAAGAAGAGTTGTGCTCTTGATCAATTCCCAACACACATTTCTGGCCTTGAGTGAGTAG